AGCCAGAGTTAGAAATTTGGAGGGGGGGGGGGAACTTTTGCTGACTAGACCCTTTAAAATTTGGAAAAGCACCCCATCTTACAACTGCGTTTTGAAAAGCTATGGCTTTTTTACGTGGCAATGGTTTGCTAATCAATAACCATCATATGTAGCCTTTGTGGCTGACCCCATTCTATAACTGACCTCCTATTTCCTTCACAATTTCTCTAACATTTATATTCTGTAAGGCGAGGAAGCTCTACGTGTAAAAAACTGATTTTCCAATGTAACCCAAGAATAATAAACAGTATTCAAAAGCTTCAAACTAAGTCTGTTCTCCGTGGAGCATAATTTGCAAAGTCCCCGACAAGCATTTCGGAATCCAGTTTTTTAAGGATTGATTTATCATTTTAGTTTCTATTTCATCAGGAATGTCTAAGAACGTGAAGGACTTTTCTAAATAAACCCTAAAAAGAGGGTAAATTGTAAAAGAAATTGTAGAGGCCGAGTGCCAGCGTTGTCAAAGATTAAAGAAGTACATATGCTGGGTGTGTTGGAAAAAGACTTGATTCAGTGAATGATGCAAGAGAAAAGCTTTTTTTAAAGAACATTGGCAAGAGACAAAAAAAGTTGCAGATCTTTATCTAGGCCTAAACGTAGTTTCAACATTAGGAAGCACATCCAACGCTCCAACTATACTGGGAGACCAGATAGAAATACCATATCCAGAAAAAAGAACTATTGATTCAGTCAGATTATAGTCAAGAAAATATTAGACGATAGGGCCCACGCCACAGGGGGGGGGAGGCCAGGGTAGCCATGGCCAAGGTAATATGTACAATAGAAGCAAATTAATGTAAGTCTGCTATGGCTTCAGCTTAGAACGTTATGCGAGAAATCACAGATCGAGCTGACTAACAAATTTCCTTTTCCAAAAACAAAATGACCTTACATTCTATCCATCTCCCGAAGTTAATTGCCCCAGTGCTGGTAGCAGTGCCACTGGTCCACTGGGGATGACATTTTTGCTAAACATGGATTAAGAATGAAGCTCGATCTATTTATTATTCAGAGGTTTTTTCCAGTTTTCGACAAAGCCCTTCTGTATCTCGGGAAAGCATCATCTCCCACCCGATCAACATTTAGTTTTAAATTCTGCAAAAGCAGAAGACAAAACAGATGGTTAACATCTTGGTGCGAGATAACTTATCGGTCAAAGGTGTGCCTTTCCTAGACCACAAAAGGTTCAGATATCCATTTTCATATCAATGCCATCAGGGAAGGTCATAACGTTTCGAGGAAGGTTAATAGCCTCGGATTGATAACTTGGATGAAGATAAAATAAGATAACGGAAAAGGATAAGAACCATATTCTATTGGATTTCATTGTACACGTTTTTTTATAATAAAGTTTTTTTCAGTCCAGCCCTCAGACTTTCTTAGCTATTTCCTAATTTCAGCACAAAAAATTTCCTAACACTTTCTTAACGTAAAATTGGAAAGTTTTACGTTAATAAGCATGTGCAGTGATGGAGAAGATGAAATGCTATAAATATGCTATATTTCTCAAAAACCTTCAACGTCATACTGGATTTGTCGTTTCCTGTTCAGCACATTACTGTATTGTTGAAATATTTCACCCTTACACCACATTGAATACCGTAAATCCTCGAATTGCCCCCCCCCCACCTCGTAAAGGCCCTCCCCTTGAATAAGCCCCCACTCTAAAACTACAAACTTTCAATAAGCCATCCATTTGCTATCCATTGATGCTACCCTTAAAAATGCTATCTATTGCAGGTTGCTGTTTTCGATGCTTAAATTTCTTATGTTTTCATATGTGATCATTAAATGAAAACTTTCAACAACTTACATTTTGAGACTTGTAGCTAGCTTCTAAATCATTCAATTTAAAATTTTAGTAAAGTTTGTCCCTTCTCATGTTTTATATGCTCTTCTATTTCGAAGTTGCCATTTTAATCGAAGTCCTCGATATGTTTACACAAAATGTATTAGATATTACTTGATAGATATTTAATTTTTGCTTCTTAATGTTGTATCTTTGGTTCTTTCATGTTGTTACATACAGGAATAGACTAATTGCTGGTTGTTTGTGTGTGTGCATGTGTGGTGTGTGTGTGTGTGTGTGTAGGGAGGGGGAAGGGAGGTTCCGACACTCCAAATACTCTGATGTCATTCGGACGGCTTTTATTCGAGAAATTTTTTTTGGTAGTTTTCGAATAACTCCAAAATTTGACTTTTTTGCAATTTTTCAGGTGACATCTTCATATCTTTTCAATCTTAAAGTTCAAAATGAGATTGTAAAATTGGGCTTTTCCATCATTTCCCAGTCAGCTGAAAGGTTGTAGCACCGAAATCTAATCATTATCAAACACCCAATCCTTGCCTCGAAAAACCATCCCTTATTTGTTCACATTCAATTGAAAAAGCTTTGAAAAGGGGCTTTTTCAATTGACTATGACTCGTTACATCATTTTACCAGCAGTTTCTAAAAAAGGCTTTTGTTTTCGGTGTTTAACTTTCAAATAAGAAGACCACGAAATTGCCTTTGTTTATTAAACCTTCGTGGTGAATTATTTTGACGTTGCGCTGAATCCACTTGAATATAAAAATTCAAAGGTGTGAGAGTTACAACGAATCTCGATGCTAGGATGACGTTAACATCCTGCGGTGCAAAACAAAGTTAATCACTTGATATTTTTATCTTTGAATTTCTGTGCGGAAAAGAACATAACTTGTGTATTCATGACATGACAAGGGGCCGCTGTTGAGGAAATTGTCACAAAGTTGACCAGTTTCCGACCAAAACATTGAAATTTGTATCAGTGTGAAATTTCTTCGCTCGAGGGGGCCGGGGAAGGTAAGGAGTGCATTTGTCTAGAAGGAAGCTCGAGGGTATCATGAGAAAATGTGATATAATAATTCTTGTATGAAAATTGACAATTCCAAACAAGGTAGAATTAAACAAAAAATTATCCCTGTAAAATTTATTCCCGTTACCAGGTGAAAAGTGAATGAATACATGTGTCGGGGTTTGAAGGAAGTTTGGGTCTTTCTGGGTGGAATATTTGGTATCAGTCTTGCTAGTGAACTTCAGATTGGAATTCAAACAACAGCGATGGGGTACGCTTGTAGGATTCTTGTTGAGATCGGTTAAGGAGATCTGGTTTAAGTTTATTAGAAGTTCGTTTCTGTATTGTTTCTATTTCCCTGAGTATCTAATGATACACACTTACAATTTTTTTTTAATTCAAGTTCAGGCTGACTCTTCTAAATTTTTTCGAAAATCTGAGGCTGGATTGTTCTTAATTTCTTCTTAAATCAATAGGGTGTAAGCAGTGCGATTGCTTGCTTTTTCGCCCTAGGGAGTTGTTTAGCCCTCATTTTCCAAAAAAGTGAGCGAGAACAGGCGCAGATCTAGCCAAATTTTGACCGGTTTCGGGGTGCTTTACCCCGTTACAGATCTGTGTGTTCGTGGTCCATAAATACTGCTAAAAGTTGATAATGCGGTTAGTGAAATGTGATTAATTTGCCTACACTTTATCTAAAATGCCACAAGTTTACTACGTTCAGCATGGCCTTTGATCTTCGTCTTTCAACTTCGCTTCCAATTTTCATGATTTTTTCCGGGAAAGAAAGACTAGTTCCTCAATAAAAAACCTCAGATTACTATTTGCATCCGTATTACATTTTGTATGCTTATGTTTTAAGGAGTATGCTTTTTAGTCACCGGTTTTTCTCGCGTAAGGGAAACATATGGGCACCGGTTTTCACATGTTTTCAGAAAACAATAGCCACAGGTTTCATTCAATATGGGCGCAAATATAGCATATTCCAAACTGTACTGATTTCCTCAATATTAAATTCCTCGGATACTATGGGATAAAGATGAATTAGGAAGCTGGGAACTCTGTCAGAATCTTGTGGGGTTTCAATTTAAAATGTAAACAGAAGAACTGTAGTCAGTCAGGGAGAAATGCAGCAATTGTTGCAATTGAAATTTTAGATTAAAAAATTCAAGATTTACAGAGAAACATAGCTCTTAGAATTTGTCCGGTTTCTTGATACCTGTGCTACCGGTCTAGATCCGTGCCTGGACAACCTTCATTTGCTGACAATCGAATTCATCGAAAAAGCACCCATACGTGTTTAAAAATCTTCGTAGTTATTGCATTTTACAGTAGCTCAGCCTCAGCTTTTTGTTAATTTGTTCTTAACTTTTGACCAATTTTGAGGCTCGTGTTCTTATAAAATTTTTCTTATAAAGAAAGAGTTTAATTCTCTTAAATCACATCAAGATTTTTGGACAGCCATGACTCTAATAACAATCGGTGAAAACCAAATAATTGGACTTTATTGTTTCCAAAAATATGAATGTGATCAAATCCCAAAGCGAGTGGGCCCTTTTGTCCCATTTGGATTTTAATTTCAATAGCTGCAAAAATATTAATATTTTAAGCCAGCCACAGGAAGGTGCTAGTGGGCCTAACTGGGAGAAAAAATTCCTGATGCCGTTTAAAGCTGCTTAAAGTCGAAGAAAGGTATAACAATTTGTTTATTCGCTAAACTACATGTATCTCCTAATCGTCGCAATTAAAGTCTCTTGATTTGGTCAATCAATACAACAAATTCGATTTGCACCTTTCATTTACTTATTGGTGTCAATTCCATCGCTTTCAGCACAAATCTACTTCATGAACCATCAACAAAAACGTCAATTTTTTCACGCAGCCAATACATCAAAGACTGGTTGTTATTTGATGATATCTATATTATTACTTCACAGGATTTTTTGTAACTTTGAAACCGGATAATCTCTGGTTTTGCTTGCTTTCTGGTCCAGGCGGTCATTCGCAACCGCATCGGGTTGACCAATAGCTTACTGGGAAGTTAATCCGTAATGACACACAATGAAAAGCCCATTGTCTTCGTATTCTTTCCCGTCGATTTTGAACAGCGGATAAAGGACACGGGGCCACGGCTTACAAATACAAGTTTACTTTTTTGTGACATTTCTCCATTTTCCTCCCCGCACGTCGTTTCCGATAGCTTGAACTGGCGAGAACACACGTAGATTTCTGACTATACCTACGCGTTGCTAGTCAGTGAACGTCGGACGGGCAAGAAGGCAAATTAAAAGGATAACGAAGCGTTTTGCCTGTTTTATAGTGTGGGTTTTCGTTGCAACCACTAATTATCAAGTTACAGATTGATGACAATACTGGTCAAGGTACTTAACCGTTCGCTGGCTCCAATAGGCTCTTTACAGTTGATACACTGCTCGCAGAAGGACCACGACTAGGTCTTTGCCACGGAGTGGTAGTTTCAAACTGTTCCAATATTGCATTACCTGAAATAATACATTGATGCTGCTCACTGAAAAAGGATATAATCGAGAGGACACGACTTTCTTAACTTATTTATTTAAAAAAATTGGCCAGGTTGTGCCTTTTGACGACCAAGTGACATTGTGTTACACAAGATATGGGAATTGCCGGCTTGAGGTTCGGCTTAGCAATATTATGGTTCACGTGTTTTGGAATTTCTCAATATGTACTCGGTAAGTGGAAATTTTTTTCGTCGATCAGCTAACCAATCTGCCCTCAAGTTATCACTAGAAAACTTTACTCCCTTTAAAGCAACCGCTATATGTTGATATCAAGTCTACAAGTTACCACTGCTTTTGCAGGCAGGGTACATTCTGAGAATAGAGTTTATTTGCATTTTGCAACAGCCGATGACAAATACTTTGAATTCGCCCTTTTTAAATAGACTCCACACGTTTAAAGAAAAATAAATTCTGACTCTAATGTCAGTTATGTAGATGGAAATCGGGGGTGATATCAACACCATGTTACGATATAAGCCGTAAAACCAACCTGTCTCTGAAAATTTATGAAATCGGCTCTTGTTTTTTTGCTAATACTGGATAATATCTATCAATCCGTACTTCCTATTGATGGTAATTCTACAGTTAGAGAGCAACCACATCAGACAAAAGATTTGTTATTCTCCCTTCATGAATTATTTAGTAATCTAAACACAAGGCTTGAATTTATATTTAATCGTTAGAGCCGACCAGTTCACCATAAGGAGAATTTTCCCACCATCTTGCTGTGATTGTACGAATGTGAAGATACTGTTTCGGCTGTCTACTTGAAAAGTTGCAGAACGACAATGAGATCTTTGGAAACGTTCACCTTATTTTTCCTTACTGAAACTCGTGTAACTTAATTTCTACGCACTATTTATGCGATCCATACTCAATTTTCAGGCGGGTCCTCCCCGTTCATCGGTAGGGCAAATCCCTTTTTCGGCCAAGTGTCGTTTCGGATTATCATGAGTTTGAAGGTAAAACATTCGTTCTTTAGATCACAGTGACTGCTCGACAGCATTCCGTGCGAAGCCCAGTCTCGCAAACGTCCTTTTTTGTTGTCTTTAGTGACTGATTTTGTGAAGAGCTGATCTGTTAATCATTTGTGAAATACTTTTTTCGATGGGGTTTCCTGCCATGCTATCAGACATGTGCTAGGTACACCCACCGGTCGAAATAGCGAAGCAGACGTGTAGACAGCAGGGGTGCATCAAACGATTCGAATCGCATTAGGCAAAGTAAATGAAATCATACAGTTCAATTAACAGTTTCAAGCAAAGCTGTCTCACACATATAATTTTCTCGACATGGATACTATGGACTAATCTGTTTCCCTAACACCCTCAGGCAAGGCAGTGCTTGCAAAGAACTATATCTTGTCTAAAACAGTGTTCGGTTTTGCCAAAGATTCTTATTCCGATACTGGCATCTTCTTAAGCATTGCAAACGTTGCTTCATCACAAACTTACTAACATCTTCACTGTTAGCTATGCTCTTAGCGGTTTTATCAAATTTTTGTTTATTTCATGGTTTTGCTGTTCTATGAATTCAGAGCCGAATTGTGTAATAATGGTCGCAATTAATCTAAGTTTGTTTTACGCCAATAAACGTTATTTGTGTACACCTCATAAGACAAACTGGGCTTTCTCTCTAATTTCATATGTATTTACCCGCAATATTAACCTATGCGGTAATGCTAAATTTTATTTTGAACATTTTGGCAGGCCCCAAAAGTAAGCAAGAGTGTCAAGAACATTTTGTTCCTCTAAAGCTAGGTAGAGACACAAACATGGACATTTGCGTATCTCTAAGAATGCTTCAAAACTTTAAAATTTATATTTTATCTCTTCCCCCTTATTCTTAAATCGAAAAGATTTTGATAAGGTGCTACTGGGGTATACTTTTAACTTCTCTCCAGTGTCGTGGATGGTAACCCTTTGTTCTGTCAGAAGGCATAAGGGTTTCTCTGCTCCTATGACAGGTTTCTCTCGACCTTAATTACCTTGGCTGACTGGTGCCCCCAAGCCGCAGAGGCTGTTCCCCGACCCACTGGACAGGATGTTGCCGACTCAGACAAAAGTGGCCGTTTTTTGGGGGTAATTATCATAGAGTTGGTGGGCCCCGGGAGGTTGATTTCTGTATCTTGGAGATAGGGGTCGCTTGTTACCCGTTAACTGCCAATCAGTTGCGAGGATGGCTCAGTGGCTAGGGTCGCTGACTACAGATCAAGGGTCTGTGGTTCGAGCCCCTGACATGACCAACCTTTCCCTCAAGAGTGAGGAGAGTCACCAGCTCTCTGTAATCCCAGGCGTAGAAATTACGAGGTGTGGTCATGTCGAGAGGAAGGACCAAGGCACTAAAGCCTACTGGCAACACACGATTTAACACTGAAAATGTAGTCTTGATGTACCCAACTAATAACTGTTATGTTGGCCCTCAAGCAAACCGACAATAGGCTTTGGTTAATATGGCTTGTGTCGTCTAAAAACACCACACAGATAGTAGAACCAAAATATCCTGAAGCAATCGCATTTGTTGATATATAAGGCAACGTCTCGATAAAAATATCGATACTTAGCACCGTGATGGATCGTATAGTAATGATGGTGTTTAAGTTGGGGGCGCTGTGGGGGGAGGGGACAATTTTTACCGGAACGCCAATTATTCAAGCAATTCAAGCTTGATGATGCCCAACCTTTTTCTATCTGCATCATATTGTGTTGAGAGCATAGCTCGAATTCAGAATTTCTTGACAACTCTGACACCGATCTGTGGCCAATGTATGTAAATGTGGCTGACTTCATCTGATTACTTAAACAGTTCTTTGACCGATATAAATTCTGTCGACACGGGAATTAGGCCATTGTACACTTTCTTTAAAACGATTGTGTCTCCAGAGTTTACTCTCTTCCTACGTTTATTATAGCCAAGAGCTAGGTTAATTTCCTGTGCATCATATTCCAAGATAAAAAGGAACTTCTCTATCAAATTAATCTGTGTGTTTGTAATGGGCTGTCGAAATTTGGGCGATTAAACAATATTTGGCTCGATTAGGTAATAAAACATTTTTTCGTGGGGGTGGACGTTTGATAGCAAACAAGCTATCAAAATGCCACACAGTGTCACTGTATCTTAAGAAGACTGGCTTCATCAACTGTTATAAAGAAAAAAATTGATTTTTTGGGATAATTTGTGAATTCCTATTATTATTAAGTCGTTGTCGGCTATTGATCAGTTTTATACTATAAAGTATATCATTCTTTTTACTTAGATGAAGGATGAGCATCAAAGTATAGATGAAAGAGTGGTTTTAGGATTCGTTCCTAGTTACGCTTGCATAGACAATTTAGACCACGGGAAGTTAAAGACGAACGATCTTTGAACATATCAAGTAGTTTATATTCCTGCAGGAAAACAGGTCCCTAGCTTGAAGCGACAGTACGCGCCAAGTATAGGCCTTGAGCATGTGGTCACCGATATATCCGATAATCAAATTCCTGGAGTCAACATCACAAATTGGATTTTCCAGAGTCAGTTTTTCGTTGACTTAAAAACGCAGTTTCTCAGTCCAAGACAAATTGTTGAGCACTTTTCATTGTAAAAATATATATTATTTCTCGTTTGAAAAAATAATCCCCCTCAACTACCCCCCCCCCCCGCTCCCCCCTCAATTTCAATGTTGAACTCATGATTTTGAGGAAGAAAGGTTAGAACACAAATAATCATCGACCGTAGGGGAAAGAGGGGATTCAGGGGGGGGGGGGGGGGGGAGTGGGGATTCGAATTTGCCATTTTGTCTTCAACAATTTTGGTCCGGGATTGTCGGTTAATTGTCTGGTCATATGAATATAAATCATCCCAGTTTTTGTTCTTGTTTTTCCGTTGTACTTCTAATGTATAATTTTGGTAAATAAGACTGAAATCGGATGCCTAGCCATGTCCTGAATAAACCTACGGCTAGCACGTCTAAGTTTGTCTGCGCACTCACGCCACTACTGCTGAAGGCGAATGAAAGTGCCTTCTTTGTTGTTCTGAGATCCAAAAAGACAATGTTAAATAAGTCAGAATATCTCCTCTTTTATTTTACTGTTATTTTTTCTTGTGTTATCAGGGCATACAGTATTATTTAAGTTTATGGAAAGGACGCTCAAACAAGTTTCTGATGTGTGTTATCTCCTAGTTGAACGCTTTTTTGGGCCTTATAATGCTGTCATACTGTAAGTGGCAAAATGCTAACGGATAGCTTTTTCCATTACAACGAAAAAGACAAGAACCCCGAGCAAGGGAAAATATCGATCTTAATCGTTTTAATGGTAACACATATCTACCTAAAACATTGGTGTTAGTATTACTAATGTTTCTTCAGCTAAGGCCTGTCTGGAACACAATAAGTTCTACCGACTGGAATTTGAAATCAAAGTATATAAAATTTGGCATAAAGCAACGTATACCATGTTAAAGCAAAGTTGTTAAGAAAGCTTGCTTCAAAAACCAAGCCCTATGCAAAAAAAGAGTATTTTCACCTGTTCTGTCCTCAATTGCCATCTCGTTAAAGACTGTCCGGAAAATGTCTCAAGGGCTTGTTTCAACAGTTACGTAACAAATCCCAAGAAGGTCAAGCTGAAATACAATAGCGATTTTGGTTTAAACTTTATTTGTTAGATGAAGAACATGCAATGGTACTACATTTCTGACTCGATGCTATTTTTTGTTTCATATTTACAATAGCGGATCTGACATAAAGAAGCCCCTTAAGCATATTGAAAAAGATTATGTAAGAAACATTTTTATAGGAGCACAGTGTCTGGTCTTTCGCAATTAAGAAACCCACTTTATTTTGGTGGTTTGCTAATTCCAAATCAAAAAGTTCATAACATCATTTTGCTTCAAGATCATTTAAATTCTTAAAAGTTCCTTGGTTTCTTCCACGTTTCCAGTACCCGTTTCTATTAGCAAATGTTTTAACACGAAATAAGTGCATTACGTTTTTTGCCCCCAAGACTAAGTGCCTTTCAGTTACTATATTTTTTATAGAAGATGTATAAAGTGCATCTTAAGATTTTAATTTTTCCTATTCCTTATAACTTGTGTTAGCAATTCCTTGAGTGTTACCCTTCCCGATTACTACCTTCACTTGGTAGTTGAAATTCGTGTAAGCCTCAGAATCAACGAATATATCAGAACCATTCGTGAAAACTAACGAATATATCCGCCTCATTTTTTGATATCTTAGTGTTGGATATGCCCCCAGCTGCTGGATTCGAAATCGTGTATCGAAATTCACGATACACGTTTTTTCATATCCACTCAAGATGCATAGACAAATTTTATGAGAATCTTTCATTCTAAAAGAGGCTCAACGTTCTGGGAATCAGTATCATTTTCAAAGCGAGAAAGGCAATTTCCTTGAGACTAGATTCCTGCCATTCCCTACTCACATTATCAATCAATCGACACAACTCAAAGCTCTCTCGTCTCACCAGTGCCTTCACTATACAAGTTAAAGATTCTGACATGCATTCTGGAACGCTTTCTGGAACAATATGCGATGATCACTACAAAGGGATAAGTTCAAATGCAAAATCCGATCTTTAGATATTTCAATAAAACGAAACTATAGCGAAAATTATTATGTTCTTTCAAAAAGAGATTGTACAATTTTTGAATGTTTTGCAAGCTAACGACAGACGGTGTAAATATAAATGGACATTTTTTCCATCATCGGTTTGAGACTTTCAACTGTTAATCCCTTTGCAAGAAAACAATATAAGATCTTGCCAAACTTCCGCATCATACTCCAGTTTGCTGCACTTGAGTAGGATTTCTGGAATATAGGATTTCTCTAGTACCACTTAGTTCCCTGGGGATAACAGCCGGCGATATGGTGCTTGCAACATCAATTCCAGGAAAGTCATTCATGAAGGAATATGGGACTTAGGGAATTAATTTTTGAGTTCAAGTATCAAAGATGTGCCTCTCAGTTGGTTTTCTATATTTGCAATTTTCAACAAAGAAAATCCGGAATACCCCTATCGTCCATTCGACGCTTGGAGTTTTGGTAAATGCATCTTAAGCTGGGTATAAGGACAATATCTCTGCATGTAGGGACAGGGCTTGGAAACATTTCTTTCCGAAAGGAAAAAGAATATATTGAGGGCAGCATTTTTATCCTTTTCATTTAAACGACAAAGATTTCCAGGTGAATGAAAATACCTTATTTTGCTGAGCCATTAACACCAAGCAAGAAAAATGAAATTTGAATTTTAAGAACAATCCTCTTGGCGTTGCTCTTTTGAACTTCACAATGTTCCCAATTGCATGTTAGATCATATGTCTGCATTTGTCGAAGGATACTGCGGTTGCCGGTGACTCTGGATAAGGAAATGTATCTTTGATCTCGAACGGAAGCTGGACCGTTCATTGGTTTGTCGCACAATACTTATTCGTCACTTGAACACTGTATTTTTTATCAGTTATCATTAGAAAGTCAAATAAAAATCAGCGCAAAAAACGAAACGAGGTTCTGTGCAATAGTGACGAGGTTCTGTGCAATTGTTCAGCTGTTGATAGTAACTGCTACCGTCAAAAGTCAAATAAATTTCTCAACATCAGTCACTAATTTCAGTATTTTTCTCTTAATTTCAGGAAAGGGGTGTGGAAAAGCAGGTGACACAAAAGCTTCAGTTGATCTTCTTTTTCTAATCGATGGTTCTTGGAGTGTTGGAGCCGATTTCGCTAACCAGCTGTCGTTTGTGAAAAATGTCATAGAAGAGTATGGCGGGATTAGTGACACAGGCGCCCACGCTGGGGTCCTTGTCATTAGCACATCGCCTCGTACAGAGATCAAACTCAATGAGTATAATAGCAACGAGGCTTTTATGGCTGCCCTCCAAAGGGTTTGTATTTTCTTGATTTATGCCACAAATTTAATCCATAAAAATGGGGGAATCTTCAAGGGCTTGTTGCAAGGAAGTGTTGATGAAAATCATCGTATCCCACCCAACTCAAAGGATAATTTCAGGTTTTGCAAAATTTTCGAAATTTCTGCCATAAACAAATCCAAATAATCCATCTTGATGGCGGTTGCTCAAAAACGACAATTTTGCCTTGTAGAAAAGCAAAAAAGAGAGTTTTTGCACTGCACTATCTTCACCCGTAAAGACATCAATTTTTGTTAACAATATAAGTACTAAAATACTAATCTACAATGTATTGGACACTTATTTTTCACAAAATGAATAAAAATTGTCTGAAACTGAGATAAGTAGGAAATTGGGAAGTTTTATAAATAGAAGTCCCAGCTAGTCTCTCCCTTCCTTTCACTTCAGTCGTGTGATTGGATATCCCTATTTGTTTTACTGTTCTTGCACATGAACTGGAAAAACTGTTGAACCCCACATTTTATTGCTAAAGGACAGGCGTATATTGAAATTGAACCCCAAAATTTTCTATGTCGTAATTCTTTTTATGTCGTAATGCATATTCGGGGTAATAGCGAGGGGCTAGATGTGGGGTGTGTCCATCTAAATTGTATTTAATGCAGATAAAATAAAATAAGGTGTGATGTCAAATTTCATGACGGTCGTTTTTGCGAAGTATTTTTGACTTGTTATTTTGTTCAAATTAGGTACAATACCCACGAGGAGCAACAAGACTAGACATATCGCTAGTCGAGGCCGAACGAGAATTCACCGAATATGGCAGAAAAGGGGTGCCAAAAATTATGTATCTTCTCAGTGATGGTATCCAGCCTACTGAAAGAACTACTCGCAAAGATCTGATAAAGCGCCTTACGGATAGAGGTACGATTTTCCTAAATATTCACATTCATATTCACAACCATCTTTATCCCCTACAATGGCAGCGCCACAGGAAGGACTGGGGACAGTGTCCCCACTCCGTTGTCGAAAGAAGCGGTTTTGTATTCGTCTATATTTGATAAGAACATTTGTAAGTAGGGGTAGTTCTTCGTGCAGTGGTTCTTTGTTTTTGAATCTGTCTTAAAATGTCTAGCAACTAGACATACGCGTTCCCTTTTGTTAAGCTTTGTTCGTACAGGGGCCATTTTCTTGCTGCCAGAGGGAAATGGCCTATTTTTTTCCCTCGACCAGTTTCGACCCTCTGCCTGGTGGCTGTCGCCGCCACTTATCCCCTACAACCATTTCCCCTTATTTCCCTAGGTCTGTTGCTGGAAGTCCTTTTACTTTCAATCTTTACGATTAACTGGTTCTTTAAAAACCAACAAAGTAAATCAAAAAGCTAGCACTTTGACGAAGAAGTTGTCAAAGGTAGTTGCCTCTGCTAATCAAAATTGAAATTTAAACATACGACTTCATAACAACGATTGATAATGAAGTAATAGGGTTATTTCTGAGATCAACAGATTTGCATCCAGTGTTCACAAATTTATTTCTTTTAACTTTCCTCGCAATGTACACAAAAGTAATCCTGTTGTAACTTTTCACTTTCTAATTTATTCATTACTTAAATTATTTATTGTATTTAAATACTAGGCTCCTGTTTACTATTATATGTCATTGTACGGATTAAGGCAGAGTCTGTACCTCTCATTGAAGACTGTAACAACCGCGTAAAATAGATTATAATCTCTAAGCTCGCTTAAGTCGCATCCCCTTTATGTAAAATCTTTTTGTAAATTGAAGCAATGTCTCTATTTAAGTTATAATAAGGAAATATTTCCCTCAAAAAGGTTTCTTAAGCCTGTTTCCTAACACAAATAACAATAGCCAACTTATAAAGGCTGCAACGTTATACTGAAAAGATGTTAAATTGCTATTAATAACATTTCCCATTATTGAAGCAAGATATGCGGAACATTTATTTGGCTCGAGTTTAGTGCCAAATTAGTGCCGGATCTATCTATTTGTCCAATCACGGGTCATTTACAGCTAAACCCAAGCCTTTTCACCAAAGACCAACTTAAAAAAGAGATTTTCTACAACCCTATTTTCTACGAGAAACGTCTAGGCCTTTAATAAACTTCTTTAGATTTTCGTGAGGGCCTCCATTTGAAAGCGAAGTTTAATAAAAAAGGGGCGTTTGTTGGAGAAAATATGGCATGTGTGTTAGAGAAGCAGAGGAAGAGAGGACTCGCCCCCTTGCCCTCAGAAGTTGCATTCGTGAAAAGGAGGTCAGCCTTGATTGTACATAAATCACAAAATAAATTAGATTAACATAAAATAATGCGCAGAAATCCCTTGTGTCCAGTCCCACTGGCCTTCCTTGGTGGTTATTAGCCGGCGCCGTTTGAAGCTAGTTTCACTTTATTGAAAAAGATCTTAATCTGACAAAAAATGAGTTATCTTTCTAAAATATTATATTACCTTCTCTCGCAGTTTGGCTCAAGCCTGATTTTCTCAAAGCAATGACTTTTATATTTGTTTTACCAACCAGACTTTGTGGTCAATGATTTCCTACCTTTTTCATGGATCCTAACAACGTACATTGATTGAAGATTTAGATCCCCCTGTTTTATCTCCGTTTCCTGCCAAAACACGGCGAATCAAAGGGTGCAGTTGGCAATGGGGGTAGGGTGAACAAGAGCTAAGGAAATTCGAAGAGTTGAGATTTGTTTATAGAAACTTTCTGATAGTTTTCAGATGTAAAAGCATTTAGTCCTTGAAATTCTGACTGTTTGCTCCATCATGTATCCTAAGTAAGTACTTTGCACTTACTTAGGATATTTAACAAGTAAATTGTCATTAAGTACTTAGTAAGTACTTAACAAGTAAATTGTCATTTTGATAAACCTCTCCCAACGCATCCTGTTTTAAGTTTCTCTTTCTTTTTCAAATAAAGAAAAGCTTAATTTGTCATGGTATGAATAGGTGAGCATTTAGACAGATATCAAACGTGCCCCCAAATTTTTAGAAACAGAAGATATTTCCAAGATTCCGTGATTCAAAGTGTCTGTGATTTTAAGTTTTAAGATATTGCCTTTAGCTAAGATACATAAAGAATGAGGGGCTGCAGCCTCCTCCCTTTTATCAGGCAAAATTTATCGAATATCAGACACCGCGCAGGTCATTTTAGCTCCATGCAGCCATTATATTCGGGCAAGAACCATGCTAAGCCCCCTTCTCAATGTTTAGAATCTGCTACGCCCATGTATATTTCTTCAATCTTCAGTCATCTTAAAATGTCATAAATGGAATTTGTGACGCTCTTAATGTTTTTTTTCGGGAAGATTAAAGTCCAGTTGTTGCTACTTATCGTTAGCGTACGTTCTATTAAGCGCTGCAGTATGCTATAGGCCGCCCATGCGCATTGTCTACATGATTGCTCAAGGCACAAAGTAACTACAGAACGGGTTTTATGCCCCATTATTCATCTGGAAGTGAGAAAGTTTAAAGCCAAGAGCTGTTTGCATTTGAAACTTTTATGACCATTCAGTCGGCGCGGATTTCCTGGGTTTAGATCTCCACAGTACATGCAAATTATGGCTGAGCTTGCGAATCTGAGAATGGCCGTGGGCAAATTTTGATTTTAACGATCGAGTGAATGGAAATAACAACAAATATATCCTCAAATCCTTTCAAATCTCATTTTGTTTCTCGGCAATTTTCCTTCCGTTGATATTTCCATGTAACGATAATCGCTGGCGGATTTCAAGTAAATAGACCCGTTTAGCCATAGGAAGCGCCTAATGCAAAAAGATAGGAAGTTGATGCAAAAGTTACAAAACAGTAGTACATTGAGAAAGGAGAAATCTTTCTCTTTGTTTTGATGCCTTTGACCTCGAAAACTCATGTCTTTTTGTTGCAATTGTGTAATTTAGACAGAGAGTTTTCTCTTTCCTTAAGGCATAATGTCACGGACCAAAGTTTATCATTGTTAAAGATAAGTTTTCATTATAACGAACAAAGTTACCCGTTCTAGATTAATCTTCGCAAGTTCTTATCCAACAGAAGGCTTTTCTCACTTACTTTCTATTTATTTGATGCTAGTTACGCTTAAAACAATTACTTTATTATTAAAAAGACTCATCAACAACCAATGATATCCATAATGTGGTTTGGAAAATTCTTGTTGCAAACAGTATAGGGTTATTTGCTGTAGTGAAAGGACACATTATGCCGAGCAGAGGATAATATAGCTCGTTCAGGAACGATATTACGTTTGAATTTAGCGGGTCTCGATACTTTGTTTCCAGGACATCAATTCTAGGGCATTTGGAACCCGACACTGCAATGCAGCCAGTATAAGAAAGATTTCAGTGACAAAAGAGTTGGGATGTGGTGGTTAAGATTTAATGGATCTAAATAAAAACCCAATCTCGCTCCTGCAATTTCCCCCCTCCCTCCCTCCCTCCCTCCCTCAAAAATAGATCATAGCACTCCCTTCCCTTCCGATAGATCATAGCACCGTACCATCCATAATTCTCCCTTTCCCATCAAGTTACCAAAAGACACAACTGTAAGCTGCGCACTTCCTACCATGTTTGTCATTTCATGGACAGAGTATTGTTCAATACAATTTGAAATTGTGTTTTATGAAGCTTTGGTTTTCAAGCTGGACTTTTGGGCCAGTACTCAACCAAGCTGGAAGGAAGATGTTATCAAGCCATGGTCTAAGTGTTGCTCAATCCCGGTTTAGCTTCAGTTAATTAGGTTACCCACAGCCCGTCGCTGGTTTCACGATAATGTGTCCTTAATCCTCTTTTAAGCCATCAAATGAAAGGCCCTCCTCGTCTTCGTGGTCGCCGGCAGTCGTAATAGATTTTGAGGTCGTAGTGTTGATCGCGATAAAGGAAACCTTACAGGCCTGAAAGACATAATTACGATTTTCGCATTGCTGTAGAACAGAGAAAAGGGCACAGGGAACTTGAAAAGCGAATTTTAGCTTGGTTGAGAACTAGTATAAACAAGCGATAGAACTAAATTTTGGATTGACTGATAAGAAGATCTGTGGCTTTATGTGTCAATATTTTGGATCTAATGCAGCTTATATAAAAGACAACATTGTCGCAATGGTTACCTAAGATAAATGAAGGGATTAATGGAAATGTATGGTGCTGGATTACTTGGGAAGGGGGCATGAAGTCAACGGGCACATATCAATAATTTATACCAATTTATACTAATTTATACGAACAGTAAACCGGTTATAATTAAAAACAAGAGGCAGCTATTGACCCAGACCTAACGAAACTGGCCCTGCTAATTAGTGTGATGGGAATATTAAATCCGCTCAGTAGATTTTGCTGTTAGCTTAGGGGCAAAATTTATTTTATGCTAATCTAAATGTTGAAAATATATTGTTCAATTACACGTTCCTTACATATTGGATGTCAACCCCTTAAAATAAAAAACAAGTCATGGATAAATTTAATGTTTTTGAATTCCAGTTATTTTTGATACACGAAATTTGTCTATCATATATTTTGTGTTTAATTTTCCTCCTAATTCAATTCAATTTTATTGTTACTTCGAATGAAAACCAATCTCAATCGAAATAATAACAAGGTATTTATAATACATATATTAGTTACTATCTTCAAATACAATTTCATATCCCTTTAAAAGAACACGCATTTGATCTCCTCCTTTATAGGTGTGCAAGTTTTTGCAGTGGCTGTTGGAAAAGATCTTGACGTAAATGCGCTGAGGAGCTTTGTTAAAAGTGCAGACGATCTTTTGCTGCCAGCCAGTGGCGCAGAATTGGCTACAATGTCTTTAGCAAAGAGGGTCGTGGGAAAATTGTGCAACTTTGTTGGAAGAAGTACGTTAAACAGTTTCTAGGCATTTTTATTTGACAACAACAGCTATGAAATTTATTTTAATCGTTGAATATTAATGTGGGATAGATAATTATAAATCATAGCTCCTTTAGATCAGCTGCCATTTTCTCTAAATTTTTACTTTGGTTTGATAACATGATCAAATGGAATTGGAAATTAGATGATTCTTGCTGTTTCTACGTATTCTCGATGCCTTCAGTTTCATGTCTTAACATTCGGATGATGATATTATACACGGATTTTTCAAAACGAGGCTACATCAGAGTTCTGGGTTATTTGGGCCTAATCGATACTCGGATAATAAAGTTTGTAAAAGTCAACGATTACTACGAGTGATCACAAAATCTTTTTCAAATGATCACGGATTATAAAAAAAGGCAACACGAAGGAGTTTTTGTCTTACATGCATAATGCAGTTACTTACTACCGTTCAGTCAGATGATGTCATAAATTTTAGTCGGATTCCAAATTAAAAATTCTTAAAATCTTTTCTGATCTCTGCACGACACTCAGTCATTGATGAATTTAGAAATGTTTTTGAATTATTCTTGCTCATTTCTACAGAAGCTGAATTAGGCAAAGCTCTTGGTGCAGACCTTGCATTTATAGTCGACCGCGCCAGCCCACTCACAGTGAAGCAAATTGTTGCCCAATATGAATTTATCAAGTACCTTGCCATTGAGTATTTCATATCCCTTGAATGGGCGCATTTTGGAGTGATCGCTGCTGATGAAACTGCCGAAGCTGCCATTGAATTCAGAGATCACTATAACATCGCCGGTTTTAACGCCGCAATGGACAAGCTATCAACTTCAGCAGGAGCTGAATTCAGACTTGACTTGGCCCTTGGTGCCGCTGTTAATCAACTGTTTACAGCCAGTGCGGGTATGAGGTCGGATAAGGCAAGGTTGGTACAATAGCTGCTGTTATCCGTCTTGTTACGCTTATTAGCCAATATCGTCCCACAATCCAGTGCGGGCATGAAACGTTTTGTACCCACAGAAGGATGAGGCGGTGTATTATGCTATGGCACCTGGTTCTAGGAATCTTGCCATGAAACATTTGATAATTAGCAATAGGCAGAGTTCAGGTAGAATGACAATCAATCAATATCCAGTCTAGAAAAACTTGAATTTGGAAATAAGATATAATTGAATCAAACTTTTCTGGCATACCTGCCGACATCAGAGTTAGTAATTGGTTCTCGCTGACAATTATGTCCTTATGCATACAAAAATGCAATACAGACAACGTGACTGCTGGTGTTTATACGCAAACGTCAAGAAACAGGAAAGGAAACAAACTAAGTAGGATTTCCTTGTTTTCAGAAGTATTTTGGCACTTAAGGCATTCAGTTTATTGATCACCTCTTGTTCTTTTAAGACATCATCAAGATGGCATACAAATTATTGCAATATTGTTTTTGCCTTTTTTCCTTCCTAACACGATACATTATGAAAGCAACAGTTTGTTCTAACAGAAATGAAAACTCTCATTCACACCGAATAAAAACAAATATCCATGCCGTTAAGCAAGTCATTCCTATGCAATTCAAATCAATACCAACAGCAGACATCGTGATTGCATCGAGAAGAAAGATGTTTTTCCCTTACAAATGCCTTTTAGAACCTAAAAAGTGTTTTTTTGCAACAATAAGCAACGTTTCAACACTTTTGAAACCTTTATTCATATTATACTATCTAGAAAATATTAGTTTGACATAGAACAAAATAAATCAGCAACACGCTACAGTATTGTAAAATAATTGTCAAAAATCTTAAAAACAGTAGTTAGGCAAAACGTTATAGTTTAAGAATGATTGCAGCTTTTCAATACTTGTACTAGATGATTTTTATAAATAAAATTTCTCACACAATCTGTAGGGGTTTAGTGATATGCATCCCAGCAAATTTCCAACTGAAAGCAGAGCACAGAGCACAAGTACTTGCCTACCTTCGAGAGTTGCGAATGCTGAAAGTGAAGATCTTCCTGATGCTAATAAAACCTGTTGGAATGGCAATTTCTGAGTTAGCAAACTACACCCTGCCTGCTCGAACCTTTCAACTCGACTCTTTAGAAGTTTTGCAAAATGCACCAGCAAGAAAACAACTCGAAAGTACCATCAGAACTCAGTTGTTGAGTGAGTAAATGTTTTTATGCACCAGTTAAATATCTATTCATTTTGGGATACCTCTCCTTAGGGAAGACCTTTCTTACCTTAGGGGGGTCAAGTGAAGCACATTATTTGTGAGCTGCTTCAATTTTCTGGGAATTCCTCAGAATTATATACGTTCAGGATTGCCAGATTTAAGATTACAAAATACCCCAGTTTATGGAAAAACATGTCAATTTAGTCTGAGCCTAGGCCCAATTTAGAAAACATCTACAAGGGCAATGTTTATCGTGTAACAAGCTGAGACGTTACCAGAAGTATCTGTTTTTTATCTCCAGAATGAAACCTATTTCATTTTTGAATTTTATTTGTGAGTTAAAAGAAAAGGAAAACTAACATGTCTAAAATTCGTCAATAACAGCTATGTCGACATTGTTTTAATTCATCTTTATTTGATGTGGAGTAGATGCTATAGGATCTCTATGTGATGTTGAAGCCTAAATCACCTCTTAATTTATTTGATAACATCCTCACTGTTGAATTTGATTTTTGCAACGTACTGTGTTTATATCCTGTGTTTTTTGTGAAAGATTACTATGGATTTTAATGCCCTGAAATTGTATCTAAATAATATCGCAATTTTATCAGAATCATGCTTACATATGCCAAATTTAGTAAGTATGTCCAACACACATTTATATAAAGCAAAGCAGCATACGAAAATGCCAATTCTGGCTTATATTATCCCAATATAGAAAAGCTTGCTTAGGTTTCTTGATACAAGCTGTTTGTATTTTTCAGAATTGCTTGAAGGTTGTTACTTTCAAACTGTTGGCTTGATTCGACCACCAATTTTGATGATCATCTTCTTATTTTGCAAAATGACTGCAAATGATATTTCATTCAATTTCATTTTCCTTGATTGGAACCTTCAAAAACTATCTATGCTTCGTTCAAAAAATTTCCAACTTGGTTCAGGTGTCTACACTTTCAACAAAAAATTTATTTAAAGATTTTTGTACCGGCCTATTAGAGATATTTGTACCTTTATTTAAAATCGCATCTTATAGGCTTTTATGATAATAGAGAGTTCTGTCTTAAAAAGAGACAGAATGATACCAAAAGTTGATTTCATAACTGAACTAATTCTCCCCAAGGCCGAATACAAGGCTGTTATGCTTTAAACTTTTTTCTATTCACTTGATTCCAAATTTTTTCATTTTTTTTCGGTATGTTTTTAAGAACAGCAGTTAATAGACTGACCTATTTTAGGGAGAGAAATCGGTGGCACTGGGGAGATCATTACAAAATGTGGTTCCAACATTGATCTTGGCTTTCTTTTTGATGCCTCCGGTAGTTCAAGGAGCTATTTTGATGACGCAGTAAAGTTATCAGAAAGCATAATTAAGAGTTTCGATGTCTCGTCGACTGGATCTCATGTTGGCTATGTGGCATTCTCGGACTCAGCAAGAATCATAACGCCCATGCACGAGTATTATAATACAGAAAAGCTGCTTGAAGACTTGAAGTCTCTTCCAAAGCCTAACGGAGGAACTCGTCTGGACATTGCTTTGCAACTTACCCAACGTGATCTCTTTGGTAAAGACGTGCTCAAAGACAAGAATCCTAAGTTTCTGTTTATTTTCACTGATGGTGTCCATTCTTCACCATATGGCATTGATCTCGCTGTCAAACCACTGCATCTTCTAGGTATAAAGGTGTGTCACAATCAAATTCAATACATGTTTTCCCATCATCCATGTGTTTATTTAGCAAATGATACCAAACATTTCAATTGACTTCGCAGGTTTTATCTTCTGAAGTTGAATTACAGTACTTAAAGATCAAAATGAACTTTTTTAAGATATATATATGTTGCTTGATATGATATTTTTTACTTTGAAAGCATCACAGGAGAAATATTCTTAGGTTGGTAGCCATAAGTAGCATATTTTTGTTTCGAGTGACACTAACCACGGGATGGGTCGCATAGATCTTGGCTTCAAATGTTTGTTGGAGTAGCTCATGATCTGAAATGAAAAAATGCATAGCAAATGCTTTATCGTACTAAACGACAGATATTGACTATCACCGTGCAGAAAATACACTACACAAAATTTTAAGCATTTTCCAACTCATGAGGTTTTAGACTTTACTTTGAAAGCCAAGTATCGAGGTTCGCGCAGACTGCCTAATTTTTTCAGTTCGCCGTGGATGAATTATAGTATCAATTTTGATCCCTTTGACAGGTTTTTGTTCTTGCTGTTGGAATGGACGTCAACTTAAACGAGCTGAGAAAACTGGTTACAAGCAAAGACGATCTTCATCATGCTCTGACTTTCAGTGAACTGAAGAACCCCAGCTTTAGTGCAGGAATAAGTCAATCACTCTGCTCTGCAGCAGGTTAGGGCGTATATATATATACAGACAATCTATAGACGATGTTTATTAAATCATGTCTTCCACCATTTGATATGTGAAATTATGCAAATGAATGATTTTTATATACAGCGAATGCAATAATTACGGTATGTAAAATATTTTCTTCAGAACAACTAACTCGCAACTGCAAAGTGAAATTGGATATTGGTATAGTTCTTGATGGTTCGGAAAGTATTGGCAAGAATAATTTTGATAGCTTCAAGAAGTTTGTCGAGAAGTTGATTGCATACTTTGGCGTATCAGACAGTGCAACAAGAGTTGGCCTTGTCTTGTTTGGCAGCAATGCTAGGATCGTGTTCAAACTCGGTCAGCTAGTCGCTTATACCCAGTTCAGACGAGAGCTGAGTAGCTTGCGTTACCCAGGCGGAAGGTCCAGACTCGATATCGGAATGAGCACTGCCAGCAAAATATTTGAAAGCGAGAATGGTGGAAGAGAGGGCATACCCAAAATCCTCTTTGTTGTAAGCGATGGCATTCAGTCCATGAGTAGCGGTATCGCCACCATTAAGGATTCTGTTTCAAAGCTGAGGGGAGATGGTGTCCTCATTATCTCTGCATCGGCAGGACAAAGGCTGAACTTTGGTCTTCTACGAGAGATTACTGGAGATAAGACAAGACTTTTCATTGCTTCAACGTATGACAACATGGTATCTGAATCCTTCCTGAAAGCAATAAGTAACACTGCTTGCAAGTTCTCGGGTAAGTCAAGTCAAGTATTGAATCATGTAAATAGCTTATTAGCATGCATAGCTTATCGCTCTTGAACTGTCAATGTGAAGTGAGAAGGATTTTTAATTGTAAATTTTTATGGAATATAAAACACTCATGATATATTAGATGAATATTTGGAGCTTTTAGTGAAATGGTGTGTTCGTAATCGTGAACTAAGTTGGTCTAGAAGTTGATAATTTTGTGGCTTTAATTTTCAGCAAATTAGAAAATGCGGGCGTGTTTTTATAGCAACTCTCTATTCCCCATTTTTATGTGCTGCATGGGCTAAATGGTTTTTGACGTATCGTGTTGCCAAACCTTGACCACTTAAGTTAACATGGAACACTTTTGCTAACAATCGGTTCTCTCTAACGCATTTGCCCTTCAATTAAACTGTAAAAGACATTTTTATCTTTCAGCATCAGCTTACAAGCTCAAAGTGTCGAAAAACAAAAATTGGATGCAACCTCTTTCTGGATCATGGCAAGACGACGGGAAAGGTGCTTTCTTTGGATATCTCTCAGATACATCTGACGACGTTTGGCATTTTGGTGCATCACGAGTGTGGTCTAAGCCAGTAAAGCGATCAAGATACGGTGCGTTATACCAATCAAATATTTCCTTTTTTAGTTAGCTTCAAAATAATAATAATAATTATTATTATGAAACCATATTCATACAGGTAAACTTGTTCAGCAAAATAAATTTGCTGCTATCAACCCAGTATTCCTAGAGTATATATTTTATAATAGATGTAATTTAAAAGCTATTTCCGTATTACCACATGTATGCTTCAATTCATCCCATCCCATTATGTAGACAGGATGTCCTAAGTGTAACAGATCGCGTGCCCCTTCCCTCCCTCCAAAAATAGAAAAATAACAAATAATGCATGTGCTACTGTTAATATGTTTCGTTAATTGTGCTGCAAAGCTTGTTTATTAAAACAAAATTGTTCTTATGTCATAGCAATTGAAACAATGATAAGGCCACAAAACACAGTTGGTTATGGTGCATGTGGTCACATCTGGAGATACAAACTTGGATACGAAAGCACACAAAAGTACGTCATTCTTAAACAGTTTCAATTCAACTCTTCAGTTTTTAAGTTTAGTGTTATGGTACGATCGATACATAGCTTTATGAAACTGCCAAAGAAATGGCATGCAGCAATAGGCTTTATATTAAATTGATTTTTTAACAAACGGAGCTATTCAGAAATGGAAACTTGATGCCAAGTCATGTAGTAAAACATATTTGTATGACTTTAAGTCAATAATTTCAGATCAAGTAATATATTGATAAAGAATATTATCCATGGTAAAAGCTTCGAAAAGTTTTGAAAGTCAATGGGGAAAGGCGTTGTAAGAATATGTTTTTTGCTTGTTTTAGGGTCGCAAAGCGAGGATGGGGCTTCTTCTTTTGGTTGAATAGGTTCATTTACGTCACATCGGAGGGCCCAGAAAACAGACCAAAATTCTTGTACAACTTCAAATCAGGTGTATGGCTTAATGTCACATCCGTTGTCAATGGCAATAGAGCGACAATTTATATAAACGGCACCAAATTGCCCACTGTAGAGATGAAAGGTGATGGGAGCACTGAAGTTGGTGAAAAATATGTTGGCTTGTGGTGCCACAAACTTATCTTCGTCACTGGTGCTAACTTTAAAGTCAAATCACGTAAGTTGTCCCAAATATTAGGAAAGGAACTAAAACTGTGTGGAAATTCTGACCGTGGTACGGAATTATGGATGCATTTTCATCCCAAGCTAAATAACATCGGGTTTTACAAGTATTTTGCAAACATAGCTGCTTATATTTGGCTCTTTTACATCAAATAAGAATTTACAATACAACTAGTTAAGCTGCGTTACAAAATTAAAGCAAGGGTACAAGCGACACCATGGGATGCAATATACCATGACTACCCCCCGGCATCACAAAGGAAATAAAACGCTTTTCAATCATTTAACAAACAGAAATGTAATGTGAAATTGGTGGCAAAAAGATCTGTTAGATCGTAAGTCATATGACGACGCCCTTTTTAGAACCTCATTATTGTTTTACAAAACGTTCGGTTAACATGTAAAGTAAAACCTTCTGCTAATCTTTGTGATGCAACGCACACCTCTTTTCCAATTAGTAAGTCTCCAGGTGAAAATCTTTCAATATTTTATCGCCTACCAAGCAAAACAGCTTTTGATCACCCATATTTACAAGTAATTTGAAATACCCCCAGGATCATTCTTAGGGAAAATTAAGGATCATTCTTAGTTCTAACACTCAACCTGATAGCCTTTTGCTCGTATTCACTATCCTGCTTGGTAATTTTTCACACTTGCTGGCTAGCCTAAAATCTAAGCTTTTCTTCCTTGCAGTGGATGAGCCATGCAGGCAGAATAATGGTGGATGCGCACATATTTGCAGCGACAACCCTTTCGAACACAGATGCTCTTGTCTCAAAGGATTTGCATTATCAAAAGATGGCACAAGTTGCAGCGGTAAATCTTAGTTCCATTGTTGGAAACTAATTCCACTTTGTCGAATCTCCAGATGGATAATTGTCCTTTCTAGGACCAAGAAGATCCATTGAATTATATCAAATTTGTATATGATCATTTATGTATTGAAACTAAGTTTTTAACCCTATAAAAAATTAATTCAAGACTGAATTTGCCATAAAGAGCTCTAAAATACATTTTATCATGTTTTCGTTGCCAATGCATATTTCGTTAGTTAATTTACAAAGAGAAATTGCAATTTTAATGAAAAAATCTAATTAAGATGCTAATACCAATTTTAGACATCGATGAATGTGTTGAAGATAAAGGTGGTTGTTCGGATACCTGTACGAATCTGGCGGGCTCTTATCAGTGCAGCTGTTTGCCAGGACGCTACCTTGCTGCTGATGGAAAGACTTGTTTAGGTGAGACAGCCTGTTTGCCCCATTACACCATCATTTAGTACAAAACCTTTTTAAAAATGCTCCTGATAAGAAACTGCTAACAATTTGATAATATTTTGTGTCCACTTTGTAGATCCACCCAAGTCAAATTACTCCTTTGTTCTGAATATTGACAACCGTCGTAAAACACCATTGCAACTTTCATGGATGGAAAACGGAGAGGAAAAAACTAGATCTGTTGCTCCGTTGTCTTTCAGTAAAGAGCTATTCACTTTTTATGACGTCAAAGCACCTCCTCCAGTGGTTATCAAGGTATTTGATCCTGCTACTGGCCAGGCTCAAGTCATTGATGGCTTGGATGCGTTCACTTACCAACCGTCTTTGCGGCAGCCGGAAGAACTCCTTACCATTCCAAGTAAGTCCAAAAAGTTTTGTCGAACAAAAAGTTTCATCAAAGCTTGCATACTACAGCGCATATATCTAGTAATTAGGCTTAAAGTAATAACTAGCTTAAACGAAGATCAATGCTTTAGTCAACCCGAACTGGCAGCTATGATTAAGGTTTAAGTGTCAAAGGCAATACTTGCATGTTCTTAACAGTAATCACCATATAGTTAGTTTGATATTTTGATACAAATAGATGCCACTTTTTGGTATGGCAACCCCGTCTTATGCCGGCTTTGTTTTAAATTTTAGATGAAGACCTTTATTTTGTTATCATAAGTGCAAGAAATCTGGGATCTAAATATGCCACTGTCAGATGGGAAATTGACAGCAAGGAAGAAATGCTTGAAATGCAGCCCCTGGATATCAAAGAAAAAGCGTTGTTAATATATTCTGTCCGTCAGCCAGAACCTATTGTGTTTACTGTGGTTGACTCTGCAACCAACGAATTGCTAAAAGTGAACGGTGCAGCCTCCTTCTCAGTTTCACCAAGCCTTGAAAAGAAGAAAGCTATCCTTTTGTTTGGCGAAGGTTTGATTCATAAATTTATCACATTTAAATGGCTTTAACTGATGTTTTTTGTGGGAAACTCCATGGCTTGTTATCGTTATAGTTAAAAAGAGAAATACAATACTTCTAGACTAAATTATAGCAGTTAAAATTTTCTAGAATGGATTTTTAATCTATTGTTCAGGTATACTTGATTGAATTTTACGTAGAAAGAAGCTATAAAATTTTCATAACTTACAATACCCCAAAATTCATTTTGAAAGAAATCATATTTATATTGGATTAAAATTTTTCTTCTTTATCATATATTGAAAAGTTTTTGGTTGTTTAAGGTTCATTCTTTGAAATCACAAACTTTTAAGCCTCCTTCGGGACCCATGAAAGTATTGTCACCTTTAAGACGGAATCTTGTTCTTCTCAAGGGAACTAGCTTTTCATGTGAGAGGCATGTCTTAGGATCAACTTCAGTTGAGATCAAGTCATCTAAATAAGACCATGCCACGTTCTCACTCACGTTATCACTCATTCACTCACACTCGCTAACTCATTCACACACTCACTAACTAACTCATTCACTCATTAACTCACCAACTCAGTCAGTCACTCACTCACTCACTCACTAACGCACTCACTCACTCACTCACTCACTCACTCACTCACTCACTCACTCACTCACTAACGTACTCACTCACTCACTAGCGCACTCACTCACTAGCGCACTCACTCACTAGCGCACTCACTCACTCACTCACTCACTAACGCACTCACTCACTCACTCACTCACTAACGTACTCACTCACTCACTAACGCACTCACTCACTAGCGCACTCACTCACTAGCGCACTCATTCACTAACGCACTCACTCACTCACTCATTCACTCGCACTCGCACTCGCACTCGCACTCGCACTCGCACTCGCACTGACTTGCTCAAACTGGTTAACCTTTCATTCTACAAGCTTAGTAGTTCACTTGGAGCTGCAAATTAGGTGGTCGGCAGTGCTCTAAGAGAAAATTGTCCTTACAAAGGCCATATTATAACTAAGCTTAATAGAATAAGAAAGTTTTTGAAAATTAGGAATATTAACGACTTATTGTACCAACTCGCGTGGAAATATTCTTTCTTTATAAACAATTGAAGAAGAGAATCTCCAAAATTAGGTTGCCTGCATTTGTTATTAAGTGGTGCAATCATCTTTAATGTTTTTACATTATGAAATTATTGATAAGTAAAGATAATTTGGTTAGATATTTGTTTAAGGAATTTTAAAGATTTTTATTGCTTTTCATTGACAGTTGAAGAATTAAAGCAGTTCTTAACAAATCTAAAGATTATCAACCATGTAAGTGCAGAGGTGACAATCAGTTGGAAACAAGATGGAAAGAAAAAGAATTTACAAATACCATCTAAAAAGAATGTTTTTCAAACAATAATCGTGAAATCAGAAAGTAAACCAGATCCAATTATCTTTAAAGCAGTAAATCCTTCTGGGGAGAGAATTCTCATCAACGGGAAGGAAGATGTTGGTGTTGCCTTAAGTCCATTTGGTACCGACACCACTTTGGAACTAACTGAAGGTATGAGAATAATTTCAATAAATTAGCGTTAGGTTTGTAAACAGGACAAATTATATTACGTAAAACTGATGAATATTCAGGAGAAAAAAATGGTTTCTCTTTGTTTGAAAAACTTGAATCAAGTTAAAAAAGAAATGTTTCGTTTTGAATTCTTGACTTTACTTTGTGTTGACTGTTGGGTTTCTATTGCGAACGAACGACTTGAAACTTCACAGATAATTTTACGTTGGAGAGCGATGCTATAGATTCCTGCAATTGAAGCATCTTGCTTTTTTAATTCATGTACTGAAAACGTGACATCAGCAACACTACTGTTTGAAAAGGTTTTGTATATGGCTTGCAATACCTGTCTAAACGACAGAAAAGCATATTAGTAACCTTTATTCATAAAAAGTTTTCAGAAATTGGTCACCGCATGCTTAGGGCTATTTCATAGGCATCTGTAGTTGAAATGAGCAATCATGCATAGCTCGGGTTATTAGAAATTATTTGATTGCCACAAATATTATGATTTTTTAAAAATGTGTGATTCTTAAGAACTTTTTATTTCTGGCCGATGTTTTGTTGTTGATATTCCAACTTTTCTAAACCTACTGTTGTATCTTATACTTCCGCAGCATCCGCCTGTTGGCCTAACAGTAATCCAAGTGCTGATTTACGTTCCCGCATTTTTGAAGATAAATTAAATAGCTTCTTTTGATGTCATAGTCAGGGTAACCACCTGATACACAAAAAATTTGGAGTAAACCCAGACTCCACAAAATTTTTCTTTCCAATGGTCAGTACAAAGCTTTGATTGAAACAGTCGCGCTGCACCAAACGTGTACTTGCTTGATAGTTTGAAGATGTCTTTATTCAAAACTAAAATTAACAGCCTTTCCTCCCTCCCTTCCCAACTCCTCCCATCTTTCCCTTGTTAGGACTTCGCTATAGGTTCTCGGGCCTTTCTCCAACATCACCAACTAAAACAAAATAACAATGTTGCTCTCAGTAGCAATAACCGATGCCTTGAATCGCTCCCTAAAATTTCACCAATCTGAGGTGTGTATTTAAAACATACAACAAAAAATTGTTTAAGAACAGAATTAATTTTTAAAACAAATAAACGTGAACTACAAATATTTTAATTCAAACATTAGTAGACTAGAACAATTGTTATAATCAAATCTCTCTTTGAAACCAAATAAATTGAATATAAGAAGATGAATTCTCAGCAACTCATATACAAATGCTTTAGAAATAGGGGTTAAAGATCTTTTAAAAGAAATGTTATCAAAATCTACTCATTTTAGCTAATGCTGTAAAGAGATATTTTTTGAGCAAACCTCACATTCATCTAAAACTTTCAGCGAATGAAAACCAACAAAATTGGCTTTAATTCTGCGCGCTTCCAGCAATCAGAAAAACTGATGAATGGAAACGATTCATTTCGCTTATGAGACATAACATCAAAGTAAACGGACAAAAATGATATCTGACACAAAGCTTTTCTTTTCTAACCTAACAGTTGTT